TCCTGAGAGAAAATTTGTGAGCTATGGGTAGGAAGCGCTGGGTGCACCAGGGGAAAGGCACTTATGTTATGTCTGTTCCACTTGGGGCTTGTGATTGCATGATTGGGATTTCGAGCGTCCTGCCATTCGGAAGGAAAGGATTGGTTTGCGTCGGCCGGTGCAGGATGCGAACTGGTCGTCCTCTTTGAAGTTCATCGGGTTCCGTGAGTGGGGGTCGGGCCACCGGACTGTCAGGCAAGGGTTGGTCTCGTCGGCTGATTAGTAACATTCTCACCCAAGCGGTCCGAGCATGGCCCGATGACCTTGCCCAGGCGGGATGTGAGACCTCTTCAGGCGGGGCGGCTGCTTGTCGGCAGACGGCAGGGGGACCACTGCATATGGGGCAAGGAAGGAGCCTCAAAGGCGATTAAGAGCTTCTCGTAGCATGGCTTGGGAAAAGTTGTTCCTTATCGGACCGATGGAAGTGAATGCCTGAACGGCTGGCTCCAATGGCCCTACCAAGATGTGCGGGGTGATTCCCGAGATTAACGGTGGGTACACGAGCGGCAAGTCGGGATGGGGTATTCTGGGTAAGGAGGAAAGGGCGAATGCCTTGCCGAGACCTGGGTACCGCGCTCGCGACGGTTGAAATGTGTTGGAGGCTGAAAACCCTGCTGATAGTAACAGTGGAGAGACCATTTCTGGGAAAAAGGTCGGTGACTAGATGACCGACCCGTGTGCGACATTTGCCTAGTTTTGCCTTTTGTGCCTGCCTCTGTAAAGTTGCCTGATGAGTGTTGGAAGGGGACCGAGCTTCTAAGTTTATTCTCGCCTCCAAGTCTGAGTCCGCACGAGAGAGAGAACATGAGGAAGAGGTTGGATATAAGTCGGAAGAAAGTGGAACCAAGAAAAAGGAATGCGAGTCACTGGTGATCGATTGGGGGGAACTGGTTAGGGATGTGGCGCTGGCTGATATGCTTGGAGGATGGGTGGAGAACTTTAGGGAGACCTTGATGAGGGGTCTCTAAAACAACGCTCATCTAGGATAATGGTGGACCTAACCCGAGGGCCGATTGGTGCGCTCATTGGACGAAACAGGTCTTGGCCACCGGTATAAAGAAGGCAGGATGGCGCAGTGGCGAGCGTCGCCAACCTACTCAAATGGACCAGAGATGCCAATAGATGTGAAGGGTGGGGTATCGGTCGTAATGCCAGAGGAAGGAACGTGGACGGACCTCGAGCTGGTCTATCAAACCGTAATGCTGGCCGAAAGTGATGCCTTCCTATGGATTGAAACGATGTGGACTAAGGTAACCTTGACCAGGATAACGTCGTGCTTATTGGACTTAGAGTTCCGGGGGACTGTGGAAGCCCGGGGATGGATCTACCTGTCAAAGGAGAGGGAGACTGCGATGGTTGTCGAACTCGCCTCGGGGAAACTTCCGTACAAACTGTTCAGGGAGGCCGAGCGGGAAGTAGTGTGGGCCACGTGCCAACGAGTGGAGATGACGATGGAATCGGTTGATGTGCGGGTAGAACTTGGGGATAGGGAAAACGTGAGGAAGCCGTACAGGGCCCTAAGGTGTGTCATGCCGCCCTTCATGGTAGACGCCGTCTTTGGAACCCGGAGTAGGTTGGTGCAAATATGCAGGGCCATGGCAGGGTTGGAGTAGGTTGGTGCGAATATGCAGGGCCATGGCAGGGTTGGAGTAGGTTGGTGCGAATATGCAGGGCCATGGCAGGGTTGGGGTTGCACCAGGGAGCCCGCCAGGATTTCTTCCGACTGTCGGTCGAAATGGGACCCTTCAAGGGAAACTGGGCAAGGGAACTGGCCGAGATTTTAAACCATCTCAGCACAGACGGCCTGTTCGTCCCAAGCGAGGTGCACTGGCGGATAGTTTACAGGAATGTTGCGGTAGGGGAAATCTTTTTGGAGGGTGTACGGGACCTGTGGCCTGAAGAGAATGAAGATGACTCCGAGGAGGAGGACAAGATGGAAATCGAGGAATGGGATTTCTAGGAAAAGAGGGGGCTGAGGACGGAGTGGTTGGGTCGCGTGGGGGTGTGCAAGGAATCAAGGACGACAAGGGAGCAAAGCTTGTGGGCGCGGATGTTTAGAGGATGGATACCTAGGAGGGTTGAAGGCGGGGTAGAGATGGTCTTGCCAACAAGGAACGAGTGGCGTGGTGCGGCCTGCGACTGGGTGGGAGTAGAGATGGTACCGACTATGTCCTTTTTGTGGGTAGAACGGGTGTGGGATCCGGTTCGAGAAAATGAGGATTGGGATGAAATAGCCGAGCGGAACGTGGAAGCACTTGGGAAGGTGTGCCTTTCGAAGAATGGGTGGTATATGTTTTGCACGCACCTAGCGGTGGGATGAGACCTGATGTGGATTTTAGAGGATGCCGAGCAGTTAATTTGGGAAATGGGGCATGATTTTGCAAATGAGGAGTGGGATGAAGTGGGAAGCAGGGTCGTGATGGGGGGATGGGAGGACCTTAGGCTCCCCTACCAGTTAGTCCAGGTGAGGGTGCCGCATTTTGTTGCGGACTGGTTCGGAGGGTATGAACATATCCGTGCCATAGCGGAATCCATGGACGAGGTAGAGATAGGCTTTGCCTGGTTATCAGACGCTTATTACGAGGCGTCATTGCGATTCGGGCCGTTTCACGAGGACCAGGCTGAGGAAGTGGTCGAGATCCTGAAGGAGCTTAAGGACTACCGACTAGAGGTAGGAGAGGAAGTCGAGGAGGCGATACTCCGTCGGGAAATAGCCGCAGCGCCCTCGTATGTAGGGGACGTCTTCTTGTTGTTTGAGGTCCTATGGATTTGAGTACGGACCTGGGAAGACAGGGAAATAGGGGGATTGACTGGGAAAAGAAAGGGCATTGTATATTAAAAAAAAGGGGTAGTGTACACAAGAAGGGGGGGGGGGG